TCGATGGGTTTAGTATGTTCCATGGCTGTGCAATGCACACTGTTGAGATGGGGTGTTCCACGAGATCACTTGAAGGTTATCCTCCTGATGAAATTGCTTCATAAATATGCTTGTCTGGGACCATACCACCCATGGACTACATGGGTAAAGTAGAAGGGGATAGCTACCCATCCCTGCTATGCCTATATTGAGTAAATCAGTATGGTCTGCTTTTAAAATAGGGTTTTGTGGTCTCCCATTGCACTGTCTCAGGTACTCATGTTCCTCTGGACTCTCCACTGCATTTCACCTCTCATTTCTTTTTGTGGAGTTTGGGAGTCCTTCCCACTTACCAGTTCCAAGCCACTAGGGTGGTGGACTGTGGAGGCATCCTCCTGAATAGTTTAATGACATAAAATTTCAATACAGAAATACCATTAAGTGCAGAGTAGGGCGGTGGTGTTCTGCTGGTGTAAATGACATGATATCCTCCACTATAAAGCATATGTAAACCAATGGAGTAAGATGTCAAATTGCATTTCACCCCTTTGATTGGGATACCTCATCCTACCCCCATGTGGATATTCATTTCCACTGGTCAGGTTGTGGCTTTGGAGTAGAACTAATCAACATAAATTCTCACACATATTATGAATGTCTATCTTCCTCCTTCAACAATACTCCATCTGTGTTGTGGGTCATGGTGGAGGTACTGGGATTGTTACAGTTTTTTTCCCATCTGCTCTCTCACTATCTTATTCTGAGGACATTATTGTACCTGGATTAGTTCCGGTCATTTTCAGTGTTGAGGTAGTCGATATCTCTTTGGTAGACATCTTCTTGATTCCGGATGTCAGGTTCCTGGATTGATATATCATTTCCTATCCTTAACATGTGCCCTGTTTTGGAGTAGGGAGGGGGGAGGGTTTGAGATCCCCTCTGGTCTCTTGAACTTGAAGTGAAGATGGTATGATCCTGATACTACCCCCACATGGGTGCCAGTTCCCAACGGCATGGGTTTTGGATGTACAGTCTGTCATGCCCTAGCTACTCTACACCTAGGGGCACATCCTTTTAATTTTACCCACTTTTAATTATTTCTGGGATTGACTTTCATAAATATTGCATGCTTCAGATCACTTTCTGGCCATACTTCATCCGATTGGAGGTGCTCTTCTGTTTTCTGTCCATATATACAACATTTTTCTATGATGGGTGAAGAGTATACCTGGTTCAGAAGTGGTGGGGTTCCCCACATCAGATCTTATAATCCAATTGTCTCATCTTAGGGAGTGTCCTTCAGATGCTTCTTTTCTTCACTCAACCTATTCAGTGTGAGATTCTAGCTAATTATGTGAGTGGAGGTAATGTACCATATCAGAAGTTATAATTTTCCTGGACTGAAAATCTATTTCCGATAGATACTTACCTCCTCTCACCCTTCCTCCCCACTTTCCTATGGTGCTTACGTCTTCTGCCAAACTTCGAGTGATAGTTCTGTAGTGGCATGTAGAGGGAGTCACATTGGTGGAGAAGTAACACATAAGAGACACACTGGAACGAGTCATTTCCAATGAGGAGAGGCAAAAGGCTTGTGGCATGTGTAAAAATGTTTTGCAAATAGAGGGCATCACTGAATGAGAATAACTAATTATGTGTCAAAAGGTAAGTGCCTATCAGAAATACATTTTCAGTACAAGAAAAGTATACCTTTGTCAAACCTGTTTGGCGGACTCTATATTTTATTATATAAAATACCATAAATGTAGCATTTTATGGTTAATAATTTATATTTTACTAGGTTTGGCTCCAAGTTTTGATACAAAAAGTTAATAATTTCCATTTATGATGAAGTTCACTTCTAGGCTTTGGTCTAAAAGTACTTTAAATGCTATTCTAAAATACTGTCCTTAGTGAACAAAACTTAAAAACAAGTTACTTTCAATTCACAACAGTTCAATCAAAAGTTAAGTGAAAGTATCCTAAAATCTGCAAAAGTTTGTAATATTATTGACTGTTAACGTTGCCAAAAGGTTTCTAAGAATTACGTTATTTTTACAAAAATTCTTAGAACTTTTGAAAAAAAAACCTGTAATCCTGTCTTACATTGGCAAGTCTGACTTTATATACAATAACCAAAATACACTAATAAAGCTAAGTTTGCACAGAGATACACTTCACATGTAATATCTGTGTTTACTGGGAGTTGAAATTTAGGGCACGACTGCTTCTGACCCTTATCCTATTCACTGACAGGAAAGATACTTTTCTATATCTGGGCATTTTAATTATCTTCCTTGCAAGAAAGTCCATTAATTACCAATGAAGGAACCCACATTTTGTACACTCTTAAAACAGGAAAGGTGAAGTGTTACTTAAGTGATTCTCTGTGTCTAAGCTGAAAACTCAAAAAACACAGTATTTTTTTTAAAAAATCCATCTTGACTAAGGGTTAGCAGGCATATATTACCATCCTTTACCACACTTGATATGTATGTATTGTTCAGCTTGTTATGATTAGCATTTCATACCCATACTGTGTACATAATTATGAATGAACTTGAATTCACATATTGTTGATCTAATAATGATTGATCTGATATATATATATATGTAGTGTTTAGCTAATGATTGATAATGAAAGTCTTCTGGATATATCCAGAAATCCGGATATTTCTAAAAAATCCTGAAAACCTCCGGTTTTCTTCCGGAGAAACACATTTTTAAAAATTATTTATCGGATATTGGTGTTCCATGCCATAGATAAGCGTTTATGCAATCGCGTGGTTTGTTTACATTGTAGTCTCGCAATGCTTGCTGGTGTGTATGAGACCTTGTATGCTTATAATGCAAACTTCATGTCATGTGATCGAGATTTTATCTCGAAAACATGCTTTAGAAAATGCGGTCATTCTTTTGTGTACCTTTCTATTGAGTGAGACAATTGAAGAGCCTTATCTATTCAAAGGTGTTTACCAAAGCGATATTAGATCAAATGAAATGTACAAACAAGTAGACAGGTCGGCAGATATCCGTAGCATAGAAGGAAAGGTAAAGAACAAATTCAAATGGTCTTGGCTGGAGGAAAAGGATGTAAATGGTGACTTTTTATCGGACTTTGTGAGGAAAGTGGACAGGTCAGGATATGCAGTATACACGTGGTTAGTAAATTTTACTTTATAGATCTATTAAAGTTTATAATCATTTCTTGTACTAGAGTTTTAGAAAATCGTTAATTTCTTAATTATCATTCAATGACGTGACTGATCAAGACGGCATATCAATTAAAGCAGCTATCGATGTGCATGAAGATTAGCTCTGTTTAATGAGTCATAGTGAAGAATTTAAAATATATATTATCAACTAAGAACTCTCAGTAGTATCTTATGTGATTATGTTTTGGATTTTCACTGTGACCATTAATAGGGGGAATTTCGAGCAGGCAAGCGCGTATGGGGATATTCTGCCCAAATTTTCTTTAGGTTAGGACTTAAGTTTTTTCACGGTTATATACACAGTGTGTGTGTATATATGTGTG